AATGATTAATAACCAAAAAAGTGATGAAACAATTGCCTTTTTTAAGATTTTTTTTTTTAATGTGGGCCATTTTTAAAGCCTTTATTGAATTTCTTACAATATTGTTCCTGTTTTATGCTTTGGTTTTCTGGCCATGAGGCATGTGGGAATCTTAGCTCCTTGACCAGGGATTGAACCTGCACCCCCTTGCATTGGAAGATGAAGTCTGAACCATTGGCCTGCCAGGAAAATGCCATAATAATTGCCTTTCAAATATACCTGATGAAAGCAGAAATGCCAGCATTCAGGGATATTTTAAGCAAAGAGCAACTGTGAGAAGAAAAGTGAGCTGGTAGAACAAGGGGAAGATATAAGGAAGAAAAAACAACTGTCATGGAGATAAAGGTCTCTTTGGAAGCTGGAGCAGAGACACTTATTTAAATGCAGCGACTTAATGGTGACAGCAAATGTGAGACACGGAGGGCTGTCTCCCTGAGATCAGGAGCGAGGCAGGAGGCCTGCTCTTACTCTGATTCAACATAATACTAGAAGTTTTACTTGCCCCTGTAGGCAAGAGAAATAAATGAAAGGTATGCTGACTGGAGGAGAAGGCGATGGCACACCACTCCAGTACTCTTGGCTGGGAAATCCCATGGACAGAGGAGCCTGGTGGGCTGCAGTCCATGGGGTCACTAAGAGTTGGACACGACTGAGCGACTTCCCCTTCGCTTTTCACTTTCATGCATTGGAGAAGGAAATGGCAACCCACTCCAGTGTTCTTGCCTGGAGAATCCCAGGGACGGGGGAGCCTGGTGGGCTTCTGTCTATGGGGTCGCACAGAGTCGGACACGACTGAAGCGACTTAGCAGCAGCAGCAGCAGCATACTGATTGAAAGGAAAAAAAAAAAATCAAACTGCTCCCATTGCCAAATGACATTATCATATATGTAGAAAACGGAATGCTCCTAGAAATAATAGAATCAGCCATGTCACAGCATTCTAGATCAACAAACAATAATCATATTTATGTACTGAAAATTTACACAAGGAAACCTAAATTAAAATCATTAACACTGTTTATAATCGTGACAGGAAGCAACAGTTAGAAATGGACATGGAACGACAGACTGGTTCCAAATCGGGAAAGGAGTACATAAAGGCTGTATATTGTCATCCTGCTTATTTAACTTATATGCAGAGTACATCATGCAAAATGCTGGACTAGATGAAGCACAGACTGGAATCAAGATTTCTGGGAGGAATATCAGTAATCTCAGATAGGCAGACAACATCACCCTTATGGCAGAAAACTAAAGAGCCTCTTGATGAAAGTGAAAGAGGAGAGTGAAAAAGTTGCTTTAAAACTCAACATTCAGAAAACTAAGACCATGGCATCTGGTTCTATCACTTCATGGCAAATAGAAGGGGAAACAATGGAAACAGTGAGAGACTTTAATTTGGGGGGCTCCAAAATCACTACAGATGATGACTGTAGCCATGAAATTGAAAGACACTTGCTCCTTGGAAAAAAAATTATGACCAACCTAGACAGCATATTAAAAAGCAGAGACATTACTTTGCCAATAAAGATCCATCTAGTCAAGGCTATGGTTTTTCCAGTGGTCATGTATGGATCTGAGAGTTGGACTGTAAAGAAAGCTGAGCACCGAAGAATTGATGCCTTGTGTCAAAGACTCTTGAGAGTCCCTTGGACAGCAAGGAGATCCAACCAGTCCATCCTAAGGGAAATCAGTCCTGAATGTTCATTGGAAGGACTGATGCTGAAGCTGAAACTCCAATATTTTGGCCACCTGATGTGAAGAACTGACTAATTGGAAAGGGCCCTGATGCTGGGAAAGATTGAAGGTAGGAGAAGGGGATGACAGAGGATAAGATGATTGGACGGCATCACCAATCCAATGGACTTGAGTTTGAGTAGGCTGTAGTAGTTGGTGATGGACAGGGAAGCCTGGTGTGCTGCAGTCCATGGGGTTGCAAAGAGTTGGACATAACTGAGTGACTGAACTGAACTGAACTGACAATCATGACAAAAAAAGTTCAAATCACTTAGATATATACTGAGCAAAATAGGTATAGAATCTGTATACTGGACGTTATAAAATTCTGATGAATGAAACCAAAGAATTTTTAAAATGTAGAGAGACATGTCATTTGCATGGTTAGGAAGATTCAACAAAGGAAAGTCACCCAAATGGATCTATCAGTTCAATATGATTTGTATCAAAGCCCCAGTAACACTTGTTTGTAGATATGAACAAGAAAAAAAACAGAAAAGAAAATGGAAAAAAAATAGACAAGGATAAAATATTTGCCAACCGTGGAGCTGACAAAGAACAAGTATCCAGAACAACCAATCCATTCAGAAAATGGACAAAAGATATGAAGGGACATTTCACTAAAAGGATATACAGATGACAAATAAGCACATGAAAAGATGTTCATCATTAACCTTGTAAATAAATGTAAATTAAAATAATATTAAATGTAAGTGCAAGTTAAACAAATTAAAACCCCAATGAAATATCCCTACACATTTGCAAGAATAGCTAAAAAATCATATATACGGGGAATATGAAGTGCTAATACAAATGCATAGAGACTAAATCACTTACACACTACTAGTGGAAGTGTAAAATAATATAGTCATTTTGGAAAATAGTTTAGCAATATCTTAAAATACCAAACATGCAACTATCCTAAGACCCAACAGTTGCAGTTCTGGGTATTTCTGACAGAGATATGAAGACATGTTCATGCAAAATCCTGGCCAGGTGGAACAAGTGAGAGGTATGCTGACCAAGTGGCCTGGACTGGGAAGACTCTTCGTGTTGGTGGGCAAATAATAAGTCACTAGGCAGGTTGTCCTTTAGCAAGTTTGTGGAAAGAATTTAAATGCTCATATGTATAAGGACTGGTTAAAAATAGACTACTGTATTATGGTTAAAATGATTGAGATAGTTTCATATACCCTAATGAGTTCTACTCCAAAATACATTAAGTGATTAAAAAGGTTAAAATCCATTTTTATGTTATTCTACATATCTATTAAATCATACAACATATCTAAATCATATATTTGTATGTATATAAGTATGCATGCATACACATGCATCTATATATATATATGTATATGTAGGTACCCATACATATTTCTTAAAAATTGTTCAGGAAGAAGGTATACAACATTTTAAATGAATTCCTCTGTTTTTACAACAGTTTAAGTTGGATTTTCATTTACTTCTAATTGAACATATTCTAATGATATACTCTGTAGTCTGAATACTTTATAGTAATTGAGGAAACACACTACTCTTTATTTCTCCATATCCAGAGGTGCTATACATATTTGTTGCTAGTATTAGAGCATATTATAAAGAACAGAATTACATGGATTGACCTTAAGTATTAGTCGCTCAGTCATGTCCAACTCTTTGCAACCCCATGGGCTGTAGTCTGCCAGGCTTCTCTGTTCATGGAATTTTATAGTCAAGAATACTGAAGTGGGTTGCCATTCCCTTCTCCAGGGGATCTTCTCGACCCAAAGATTGAACCCAGGTCTGCTGCATTGCAGACGGATTCCTTACCATCTGAGCCACCAAGAAAGCCCAGTTGACCTTAATTAACCCTCTTAAATGGACTCTGGAGCTAGGTTTTGACCAATAACATCAAATTCGCTTTCTCTCCTAAATATAAAACCAGAGATTGTTTCACATATTTTATTTTAATATCTCCTCTTGAAGCCTCGGAAACCATATAAAAGGATCATCTCTAAACTATACTGTCTTATCAAAGCCATAACATTTTGCATCTTTACATCAATATGTGGGCAGCATGCAATTGGAATTTTTAAGTGGGGCAAACTTTATCTAATCTACTATCCTCTATTTTTTACACTAACAAAGTAAAATGACTTGCCCAGATAATAAGTTAGAGAGAAGAAGATCTAGACTCTTAAATTCAAGTTTAATATACTTTCAATTGTACCATGTGGCCAAATATCTAATAAAAAAGTGTTACATGCTGAGTCGCTTCAGTTGTGTCCAACTCTTTTGTGTCCTCGTAGACTGTAACCTGCCAGGCTCCTCTGTCCGTGGGATTCTCCAGGCAAGAATACTGGAGTGGGTTGCCATGCCCTTCTCCAGGGGATCTTCCCAATCCAGGGATTGAAACCCCATGTCTCTTACATCTACCTGCATTGGCAGGTGCGTTATTTACCACTAACTAATGTGCTTTCAAAACTCAAGTGTGGATTCCACATCCATGAAACATTGATACATTTCAGCGACTCTTGCAAGTGGTCCAGATGACAGTGTGTGGAATCTCCACTCTGACCTTAAAAACAAAAGCTGGGGGTTGTTCAAACCAACAACCACGTCCATATAGATATGGTTTAATGAATGAGAACAAATAGCCCATGTTCTCATTAAAGAGCTTTCTGTGATGGCTCCAGAGTATGCTCATAAACGTAATTTACTCTCTGGCTGTCAAGGCTCCTAACTAATTGTTCCCTGGTCCCTTGATTGTTTTGAATACATAGTGTTGACTGGCTTAAAATACCAGGTGACGCAATTGAGCAGCAATATAGAATTCATATTTTTCAGAACACTCTTGTAAATCTGTATAGTACATCATTTCCATCAAAAGGATAAAACAGCCCAGTGATGTGTCAGACTCAGAAATAAACACTTGGAACCAGTCACGAGGAAAGAATAATAGAAATCCAAAAATTCTCAGCCAAAATAACCAGATGTTGTATCCTCCAGATTCTGTGGCTTTATTATGAGTAAAGTTCGCTGCAATCTTTCAGATCACATGCCTGTGTATGCTGTTGCTATACAAATAACCTGAAAAAAGAATTGAGTTGGAATTCTAGCTCTATCACTGTGACCTTGGACATGTTACCTAGCCCTTTCTGTACAGTGGAGTTAATAATAGTTTCTCTTCCAGATAGTTAGTTTATTTGTGATCCAGCACTCACCAAGTCTGTCTGCAATCAACAGGTGCTCCGTAAATGAATGTCAGTCAGATGTCAGGCACTCTGCTGGGGCAACATGGAGATGAGTCAGACACGGTCTCAGCCTTGCAGTGGAACGAAGGAGAAAAAAGACAAGGTAGGTGCAATAAAAGAGTCACCCCCAGAGGACTTCCCTGGTGGTCCAGTAGTTAGGACTCTTGTGCTTCAACTGCAGTGGGTGTGGGTTTGATCCCTGGTCAAGGAACTTGGATCCCGCAAGTTGCTCAGTGGGGGGAAAAAAGAGTTGCATGTTAAGTTCTTTAAGGATGCAGAGTCATATTCAACCAGAGAGAATTGGAAATTTTGTCATGAAGAGGGAATGATTTGAGACAAGCTGGATAAAATTTTGAAAACATGGAAATGCGGATATTGAATACGCATATCTTTTGAACACATTGCAAAGTCCAGTTTGCTTGAAATGAATAGTAGAGGAATGGTGAGACATAATATAAAAGCTAGGCTAGGACTGCATCAGTTCCCCATTGTGAGGAATTTGAACTTCATTCTGTATGCAGTCAGCTACAGCTTAACGTATTGAAAAAAGTAGGTCATGTGATTGCAACTTGTCTTTAGGAATATTAATTTAACCATGGTGCATGCACATATGAATGAGAAAGAAAAAACTGGTATTAGTAATAAACATGCTGCAGGGACTATGACTAGACTAAGCCCCTGATGACACCAGGCAAGATGCCTGCCCTCATACAGTTGGCATTTTGGTGGGTTTATTTGTATTATTTATGTCATATATATATATATATATATATATATAATATAAATTAATAATATTTTCAGGTCATGATAAATAAAGCACGTTAAAGAATGGAGTGTCATAAAGGTTAATATTATGTATAAAAGTGACTAGGAACAAATGCTGTGAGATGGTGGATTTTAAACAAAGACTAAAATAAAGCCTGATCCATATATACACCTATATATATGCATATATATGTATATATATATATATATACACACATATATATAAATTCTATTAGGATCCCTAGAAGAATTCCTAATGAATTCAAGGCTAGAAACCAAATAGCAGCAGGTTGTGAGTTGGTATCATTCAGGTGGTCTACCATTAACAAAAATGTAGAAACTATATCTACTAAACTATATCTACTATAACCCACAGAGGTTTGTTAACTATTCCAGAGACGCTCTAAAGGGAGTAGCAGAACAGTTAGATGCTACCAGCAAACTGGCATGGGGAAATTGTCTGGCTTTAGACATAACTCTGGCAGAAAAGGGAGGAGTGTATGTTATAATGGGCTTCCCAGGCGATGCTCGTGGTAAAGAAGCCACCTGCTAATGCAGGAGATGTAAGAGATTTGGGTACGATTCGTGGGTTGGGAAGATCCCCTGGAGGAGGGCATCGCAACCCACTCCAGTCTTCTTGCCTGGAGAATCCCATGGACAGAAGAGCCTGGTGGCTGCAGTCCATAGAGTCGCAAAGAGCATCAGACACAACTGAAGTGCCTTAGCATGCAAAATAAAGTCAGTCTTTCAGACAGAAAAATAAAAATATTGCATTGTTGGAAAAGGAGCAAGACAGCCAGAGTGGCCAGAAAGGAGTGGGTAGCACAGGAAGAAGTAGGAGATGAAGTGTGAGAGGAAAGAGAAAGCCCTGTGAGGCTTTCTTAGATTTCTACCCTGAAAGATCAGTGGGGTGTTTGGATTTCTCAATGCTCTACAATCCTTTGATCTTATTTTGTTCTCTCTCATTTTTGGAGCCATTGGGAGCAAGATGGACATTGGCACAACTCCCTCTGGCATTCCATGTTTGACTCTCTAGTGAATAATGTGGACTTTTAAAAGATAATTTTATTTATTTACTTCTTTTTTTCCCTGAGCTGGTTCTTCATTGCTGTGCTGAGGTTATCTCTAGTTCTGGCGAGCAGGGGCTTATCTCTAGTCATGGTGCATGGGCTTCATTGCTTTGCAGCATGTGGGACCTTGTTAGGTGTGGTCATGTGGCTAAGTTCTATCAAAGGAAGTTTGAGCAGAAGTAGTGTCTGCTGTCTGACGCCTGGTCTGTCAAAGACTCTCTGCTCTTTCCCCATCCTCTGGATTGATGTAGACACGCATGGAAGCCACTTGCTCAAAATGGAAGGAGCCTGGGTTTCTCAACAGCAACTGGGAAGGGAGTTACCCATCAACTAAGAACACCTGTTTTGAACCCAAAATGAAAGAGAAATGACCTTCTATGTGTTAAACTACTGAGGTTTAGAGCAGGTAATATTGCCCTGATACAGCTCTCTGGTAATATGATAAGATAGAGATTATACATTTACATACCAAAGCAACATCTTCCACAGCAGCAGATAGAGAAATTCTCTCAATTAGAAGGTCATTTCAGGGTCAAGGAAGACCCTGTTCAGCTGGTTCACCAATTCTCAGATTGCTACAGAATCAATTCCAAATTCCCAGTGATCGGGTAACTAATATTCTTGTGGCTCATGTGGGCTATAGTTTCTACTGTGGTTTCCTTTTTTCTTTTTTATTTATTTGTCTGTGTCAGGTCTCAGCTGTGGCATGTATGATCTAGTTCCTGCATCAGGGGCTGAACCCAGGCCCCCAGTGGAGCATGGAGTCTTAGCCACTGGACCCCCAGGGAAGTCCCTTCTGCTTTCATTTCGGAATGAGAGTAGTGAGCCCAGTTTCCTCTACTGCAAGAACAGGATGGTTGATAGCTGAACAAGAGGGACATGATCAAGTGGATCATAACACCTGTAAGCAGTGGTCCAGGCAGTGACCTCCCACCTGCTGCCACATTGTCCTTGCACCTGGACTGCTTCCTTTCTCACTAGATGCAAGCCAGGCCTCTTTTGGCGGGGCCATGTGTGTGACCTGGTCCCAAATTAGACTGTTTGGGTCATAGAATTTTCTAGGTTTTCTGGTTATGAGGCGTTTGTGTGTGGGGGGCACTGCAGTAAGTACTTTGCCTGCATCATCACAGGCAGTGCTCAAAATTGTCCTCTGACCAGTCCAATTATTGTAAACACAGCCCTACTACTGTTCCTGTCTTACAACGGAGGAAATGCTAAGTTCACTATTGGTGGCCACCTTCTCGGCTAGAGAGAAAAATAGCCCAATTAAGGAAGGAAGGAAAGAATGGGTAGTATTCTCCCGGCTGGGCTGAGAAACATCCCAATAAACAAGAAACAAGGAGATACAGAAGTGGAGGAGGCTTAAAGCAGTGATAAAGGAGAACTGCCTTTATCAGAAGAAAGGTCACTTTTTTTTTGCTTTTTTGTTTTCGTTTTTTTTCTTGGAGGTGAGGATTTTATTACATGAATTAAGAACACATTCAGCCCATAAAAGCATGTGGTAACTTAACTATACATGCAAGTGATTGTGAACACATAAATTATGTCTCATTAAATCACATAAGTATATCCCTAATGCATTATCTTTTTAACAGAATTTTTAAAATGCCAACCCCCACCCCCCACCCCAATTCCACCCTACATGAAGGGAGGTCTGATGGAAAGAATAGAACTGGAAATTTTAACTGATTGTGAGCAAATATTTGATTTTCGCCAATCCTCAAAATGACCAAGTCAATACATCTTAAGTGTCCATTAACAGTTGTGGAAAGTGAAGGAATTCTTAAGCATGAGCTTCTTTAGCTTCTTGTTAAATCCCACTCTAAGTAGAAGGTAGTATAATAGATCAACAGCCAGACTGTCATCAAGGGTCAGTTTTTGCCACCCAGAGTTGGTTTAACGTTGTACCTTCTCATAGTCCAGGGAGAAACATCCAGATGATGCAATAGCTGCTGTGGTCCCTGATTTCTTCATAAGATTCATGACAATGACGCAGTTAGAACTAACTGGGTGATGATCAATAGGACAATCCAAGTAACCAATCGGATGGATGCAGACTGGCCAATATCTGGGGCCAGGCTCTGTGGGCTCTGGTAGCAGCATGTTCTCCCAGTGTTCTAGGAATTCCCTAAGCCAATAACTGCAGCCTCCGTTGAGATCTTCCTGAAATACTCTGCCAGTTTCTGCTTGTTCTCCCACTCCTCCTTGATCCCTGTGGCTCCAGGATCGATGACTGTCCAGGTTATGCTCATGGTGTCAAGGAGGGCTGTCCGTCCAATGAGGCTGAAGTGCAAGGATGCACCAGAGCATTGCTCGGCTTCACACTGACAACACAGCCTGACCTTCAGGGTGAGAGGACCCCTCATCTCCTTTTTGTCCAGTTTGATGACAAGCAGGACCATCCTGAGCTCTCTTTCTGCTTCTCCCAGCATTTGGCTCAATTCAGCCCACGCTTTGGTGTCGTTTACCTCCAGGAAACCCAAAGGTCTGACCTTGTTGCTGTCACAGTCATACTGGAGGAAAGTCTTTGTGTCCACGGAGCCCTAGACGTCACACCAGGGCTTTCCAGGTCTGGACTGAGATTTGACAGTGAGGTCGAGTCACTGTTGCTGATTTTTAATCTTAGATGTGGTTTCCTGGCCCATTTCCCTGGTTATGAGGAATCCACTTGGGAGAAAGGTCCTTTGTGTGTGAAGGGAAGAAGTCAGCTTTTCTCAACTGATCCAAAAGTCTGCAATTCATTTTATAGCATGCAGATAATGAATGGACATATTAAATACAACATCTAGCACATGTACTCTTGAATATGACTGGAACTCCCTTTTCAGGGGAAGACAAATTAAAATGCCCAGCTACTAGCTTATATGGGCTTCTCTGGAGGCTCAACAGTACAGAGTTCACCTGCAATGCAGGAAAACTGGGCTTGATCCCTGGGTCGGGAGGATCCCCTGGAGAAGGAAATGGCAACCCACTCCAGTGTTCTTGCCCGGAGAATTCCATGGACACAGGACCCTGGTTGGCCACAGTCCATGGGCTCGCAGAGTTGGACACAACTTTGTGACTAAACACCACCACCACCAAGCTAGCCTGTATCTTATGACTCCAATATATCCTCTCCACAGGCACAACAGGACTGATCAGAGCCACCGTCCTCTGGCTTCACTCTTCTTTACCGTGCAGAAGAGATGAAATACATGAGCAGACTGGGCTACATGAGTAGGTGTTGTCCCCTGCCTGCAGCAAGGCTCCTCCTATCTGTCCA